TTTTTTAAGATTTTAATTTTAGGTAATCTCTACACCCAGTGTGGGGGTTGAACTCACAACCCCGAGACCTAGAGTCACATGTTCTACCAACTGAGCCAGCCAGGCATCCCAAATCCCTTGTGTTTAAGGCTGCTTCTTGAACCCAAAGACCCTGATCTGAAGTCCAGAGACACTGTTCCTGAATTCTGGACACGTGCCCCCTGTGGTTCCAAGACACCCCTGCTGTGGTCCTTGTCAAACCTGTGGATGCAGCCAAACTTTGTTGGAACCCCGGACATCTGTTCTCACAGTGCTATTTGACCAAGAGGTGGGCCCCTTTCCAGAAGCCAGGCCTGGGGCCCAGGCTGGCTCTTTAGCTGGGTCAGAACCTATAGGTGATGGGCTGTACGCACAGCGGCCCCCAGGGGAAGGCCCTCTGGTCAGGATTCATGTGCGTCTTAGAGTGCCCTGAGTTGTACGCATGCCCTGTGCATGGATAGGAGACCACCCACCTAGTGCTCTGGGCCCTCTGAGCCAAGCTATGATTCTCAAGACACCCCCTTCCCTCACTGGGCATGTGCTCACCTTATTTCCTCCCTAACCTGGTGAAAAGGATGGGGGGTGAGGGAGTGGCCTCAGGGTGGTTGAGCTATAGGGTTCTCATCCCTCAAGCAGTCACCAGCCTGACAGCCAGTCAGGCGCTGGGCTAAGAGCCTCATATGCGCTTCATCTGCACCACAAACCCCAAGGAGTGAGTGTCATCATCCCCATTTTATAGAGAGGCTCAGACGGGTTCCTCACTTGGGCAGGGCCACCCGACCTTATCTGGAAAACGGAGACCGTCTCCACTACCTTGCAGGGAAGTTACGAGGGTGGCGATGTATTCATGTGATGGGCTGGATGGGCACACTCAGAATCTGTAAGAGGACGGCGGGGAGTCCAGTTGGGAGGTGGCTGGGAGACCAGAGGACTTGCTCTGAGACGCCTTTAGCCCAGCAGAGATACAGTTTTTACCTGGATTGTCTGTAACCTGGGTGGCCTTGCAGGTGCTGGTGGCAAGACATCAGGTCAACAGCTCCCATGTGGGCTGTGCTGAAGGTCATCAAGGTGGGTTACCAGGATGCAGGTAGAAGCTATCAGCACCCTTTTTGGGCCCTGGAAGTACTGCAGAGAACCAGGCAGACAGTGACCTGGATGCCCTTGCCCCCAGCTCAGGGCCTCTGCTCGTGGCCAGTCACAGTAGGGCTGAGAGTCTCAAACTTCCTGAGAAGAGAAGCTGACTTGCTTCCTTGCCCTCCCTGGTGCTCCCAGGGTGCTGCGATCTCAGCACTTCCAAGGGTCTGGCCAGGGTGACAGTCCATTTGGGTGCTGTGACAAAACAGCAAAGACCAGGTGGCTTATAAACAATACACTTTGATTTCTTACATGTTCTCGGGGCTCGGAAGTCCAAGGTCAAGGCACCAGCAGATTTGGTGTCTGGTGAGGGTCCGCCCCCTGGCTCATAGGTGGCTGTCTTTTCGCTGTGTCCTCACATGGCAGAAGGGGTGAGGGAGCTCCCTGGGGTCTCTTTTATAAGGACACTCGTCCCATTTATGAGGGCTTTGCTCTCCTGACCCAAGCACCTGCCAACGGCCCCATCTCCTAATGCCATCACACTGGGGGTTAGGTTTCAATGTACGAATTTGGGGAGCACACAAATGTTCACTCCGTAGCACAGGGCATTGCTTTATGAGGATTCCGGGCCTTCTGAGTAGGAACTGAAGGTGGCCTGAGACAGTCTCAGTCCGGTGAGGAAAGTCTCTGAGCACAGGAAGAGAAGAGGAAGCCTGCCTTCTGGCCGCTGGGGAGGTCGAGGCAGTTAGGCCAGGCCACAGGAGAGCTCAGCCACACCCAGGGACAGAAGCGCCTGAGGCAGCATCGGCAGGGTGGCAATGAGCTGGGGTGTGGTGGGCTCCCAGTCCCCGCTTTGACTCTGGCCTCTGCCGCTTCCTGGCTGGGTACGAGTCCCTTCCGTTCATGGAGTTGATATGAGGACAACATGAGTAAATGCCTGCAAGGTGCTTAGCACAAAGCTGGCAAAGAGCTTAGTAATCAAGGGCTGTGATGCGTCTCGCCTGGTAGACACGGCACCATCTGGCTCCACTTTCTCTCCCTTCTCTTGGACTGTCGCGCAGACGGGGACTGCTTTAGTCACTGTGCAGGGTGCTCGGGCACCGGGAAAACTCTCCTGCCTGTTCCTGCACCAGCCACCTTCTGGCTTTGCTGGTGGTGAGAATGGGGAGGTGGTTCTGGACCCCTTGCCAGCGGGCGTCCCACACATGTTGCTCCTGGAGAATTCTGCGTGAGTGCCACGCTTGGGTCCCAGCCACCTGTGCAGCCCCTGGGCCCGCCTGGCCGTCATCCCCTGAGCGATGTTGGCAGATAGCCCTACTTTAAATGAGACGATGTGCTCAACGGGGCCTGGTCTCAGCAGACCCTCCTGGAGTAATTGACAAAACAGATTGGAAACAACGTAAATGTTCAAGAGTTCTGACAGAGGTGCCTCTGAGGGCTCAGTTCTCCGCACTGTAGGGACTCCTTTAACCCTGGTGACCCTGGTGACATCCGTGTGAGGGCGGTAGTGTTACCACCCCTTTTATAGATGAAGGTATTGAAGCACAGGGGGGCCGGGGCATCTACCCAAAGCTGCAGCACTGTCAAGTGGTAAAGCTGGGATTCGAACACACTTGTCCCTGACTGCAGATCAGCGCTCTCCCTGCCTGTGTCATTGGCACGCGTGTGCTGTCATCTTTCTGTCCTTGAGGCTGATTGTCCTCAGATTCAGAGGCTTGGTCTGTGCCAGGTGTTAAAACTGGGGATGGGCATAGCTGGGGGGCGCCACAGGATGCAGACCTGCCAGAGCTGAAGGCGCCCTTTCTTTCTCCCCCTACGACCCTCCCTCCATCCCACAGCGGCCATGGTCTGGAAGAAACTGGGCTCCGGCAACTTCTCCAGCTGCCCCAACGGCTCCCTCGAGTGGATATGGGATGTGTTTGGCGAATGCGCCCAGGACGGCTGGGACGAGGCCAGCGTAGGCCTGGGCTTGATCTCCATTCTCTGTTTTGCAGCATCCACCTTCCCGTGAGTACCGGCAGGGGTGCAGGGAGCAGGGCAGGGGTATGGGGTGGGGTGGGGCGATGGCTTCAGGCACTGCTTGGAGGGGCCTCTCCAGATTCAAGGCCATGTGTGCTGCCTCCACTCCCACTCACTGACTTCCAGCCCGCCCCGGAGGGCCCTGCGCTGAACTCCACCCTAGGCTGACACACAGATGATAATAACAAGAATATTAACACTTGCTGCTCTGTGTTGAGGGTCCAGTGTGTATGTGGCTGACTTCTAAGCGCTTGATGTGTTTTTTACTTCATTTAATCCTCATAATAAGCCTGTGAAATAGGAACAGTTGCCGTGCCTACTTTATGAGGGAACGGAAACCCAGAGAGGCTAAGTAACTTGCTCTAGGTTGCACAGCTAGGAAGAGAGGAAGCAGAGGGGTGGGTGGGCTGAGATGCACCAAGCCCTTGCCCTGTGACAGTCTGGTGGTGGGCGGAGAAGCAAGGATTACCAAACAGCATGGCCACTGGCATGATTGGGGAAGAGGACACACTGTGACCTGGGAGAGTCACTTTGCTGCTCTGTACCTCAGCTTCCCCATCTGCAAAATGAGAATGTTGTTCCCTAACTGCCGGGGTTGCTGGCGTGAGGGAACGTATGCCTTTGCTCGTTGTGAGCACAACCCCGTGGCTGGACAGAGCGTGTGCGGGTCAGGGACACGGGGACAGGTGAGGTCAAAGAGGTCACCAAGGGCCCTGTAATGTGAGGCATTCTCCCCTGTTAGGAAACGTGCTCTTTATCCTGAGGGAGAAAGATAGGAGTTTAATCAGGAGCTCGGGCATCTTTTAAAAATAGCTTTATGGAGAGATAATCCACATACCATATAATTAGCCTATTTACATGTATAATTCAGTGTTTTTCGTATAGCCACAGAGTTGTGTAACCATTGCCTTAATCAGTTTTAGGACATTTTCTTCACCCTAAAAAGAAACCCCCAAAGCAGTGAGTCATTCCTCATTTCCCACTCCCAGGCCCTGGCAACCATGAGTCTACTTTCTGTTGCTATAAATTTGCCTACCCTGGACATTTCGTGTAAATGGAATCACAGAATATGCGAAAGCCTGGCTTCTTTCCCTTAACATAACGTCTTCAAGGCTCATGCATGTTTGGCAGGTGTGAGGGCTTCATTCCTGTTTATGTCTGAATAATATTCCCGTGTGTGATATCCCACCTTTCATTCGTTCATCCATTGATGGGCATTTGGTCTGTTTCTACTTTTCGGCTATGCCAGTCAAGGCCACTGTGAGCATTCATGTGCACGTTTTTGTGGGTACATGTTTTCACTTCTCTTGGGTACGTGCCTAAGTAGCAAAATTGCTGGGTCATATGGTAACTGTGTGTTTACTCTTTTAAGGATGTTTAAAAAACATTAAGTTCTGGTTTCATGACGTGGCCTGGCCCTAGTGATGTCATTTTGGGCCTGTGGTTTTCTTTTCTTTCTCTCTCTCTTTTTTTTTTAAGATTTTTTTTTTTCATTTTTCTTTTTAATATTTATTTATTTTTGAGAGAGAGAGAAACAGCACAAACTGGGGAGGGACAGAGAGAGAGGAAGACACAGAATCTGAAGCAGGCTCCAAGCTCTGAGCTGTCAGCACAGAGCCACACGTGGGGCTCGAACCCACCGACCGTGAGGTTATGACCTGAGCCAAAGTTGGATGCTTAACTGACTGAGCCACCCAGGCGCCCCTTTTTCAAAGATTTTTATTTTAAGGGACGCTTGGGTGGCTCAGTCGGTCAAGCGTCTGACTCTTGATTTTGAGGTCATGATCTCACAGTTTGTGAGTTTGAGCTCAGAGTCTGGCTCTGTGGTGATAGTGCAGAGCCTGCTTGGGATTCTGTCTTTCCTTCCTTCTGCTCCTCCCCCGCTTTGTGCTCACTCTCTCTCCCCCTTTCTCTCTCAAAATTAATAAACTTAAAAAAAAAAAAAAGATTTTTGTTTTTAAGTAATCTCTGTATGCAACGTGGGGCTCGAAGTCACAACCCTGAGATCAAGAATCACACGCTCCACTGACTGAGCCAGCCAGGCGCCCCCAGTGGTTTTCTTTTTAATAAGGAACCGCCAGGCTGTTTTCCAGAGAGGCTGCACCATTTTACATTCCCACCAGCCATGTGTGTGAGGTTCCAGGGTCTCCAAATCCCCATCAATGCGTATTTTCTTTGTTATCGTAGCCACCCTAATGGCTTTGCAGTGTTATCTCATTGTAGTTTTGATTTGTATCTGCCTGATGGCTAGTGATGTTAAGCGTAGCTTTTCTTGTGATTTTTGGCCATTTGTATATCTTCTTTGGAAAAAGGTCTGTTCAGATCCTTTGCCCGGTTGTCAAGTGGATTATTTGTCTTTTTGTTGTTGAGTCGTAAGGGTTCTTTACATATCCTAGATACAGCAGCTTCATCTGACATATGATTTGCAAGTATTTTCTCCTGTTCCGTGGGTTCTCTGTTCACTTTCGCGATGGTGTCCTCTGAAGCACAGAAGTCCTAAATTTGGACAGTGTCCAGTTTATCTCTTTTTTTTCTTTTGTTGCTCGTGCTTTTGGTGTCCTATCTAAAAAAGCATCGTAGCCTAACCCAAGTCATGGAGATTTGCCCTTATCGTAACTGGGGTGCAGGGGCACAAGAGCACCTAGCTTTGGGGGTCCCACACAGACTGGGTTCGGCCACTCACTGCTGACAGAATCTGAAGGCAGAGACACCGAGTGGTGGTGAACCAAGAAAGGAACTTGTTTCCAAGAGGCCGATCCTGGGAAGACCGTGGACTTGCGTCTCAAGGACTGTCTCCGTAGTGCTGAAAATCCATCTGGATTTATATAAGGAAAATGTGGGACAGGGGTCAGTGGGGACGTGCTGGTGGGCAGTGAGGGTCAGGTCAGTCCTTGTCTTGGGGTCAATCATTCCGGGTCTTGCTGGCTCAGGGCCGTCCTTGTTGCCTGAGGGAGTAGTTTCGGTTCCCTTCCCAGGATGCTTTGCCCTCAGGGTCTTTTGCCTGAGTTGTGGGATGAGCTGGAAAGAAGAACTTAATCAATTAGAAAGTTTGAGGTCAAAATGGATGTAGGTGAAGCCCTCTTTCGTTATCGTTTCTTCTGAGAGTGTTATAGATTTACCTGATTCTGACACCAGCATCCGTGTGTATTTTTGCCCCACAGTACCAAGCATTTAACTCAATTTAGGCCCTGTCTACTTTGGGACAGCATCAGATCCCACAGGTTAAGGGCTCAGTCCCACAGGATTGCCCCTCCCCCTTCAGAGGTCACTTGCAAGTCTAGGTTGTCGCCTGTGCTTCTGGTAGGTGTAGACCAGCTCTAGATCAAACCTGCTTGGGTTGATTAATTTGCTAGAGCGGCTCACAGAAGTCAGAAAAACATCTTACTCACTGGATCACCAGTTTATCACAAAAGGGTGTAACTCAGGAACAGCTACATGGAAGAGATGGAATTTCTAATTTCTCTCCCAGCGCGCCGCCCTCCCTGAATCTCTTACACGTTCACCAACCTGGAAGCTCTCTGAACCTGTCTGTTCCATTTCTTGTGCAGGCTTTGCTACACAGGCATGCTTGATTAAATCAGGGCCACTGGCGATTGACTTCATCTCCAGCCCCTGCCCCCTCCCCAGAGGTCACTGGATTGGGCCGGAAAGTTCCAAGGGTTTAATCACATCATGGCAACCAGCCCTCCTCTTTGGAGGATCCAGAGGCTTCCCAAAACTTAACCTCGTGAACATAACAAAAGGCACCCTTATTGTTCTAATCGCTTTGGAAATCGCAAGGTTTTTAGGAGCTCTCTGCCAGGGATGGGGTGAAGACCGAATCTAGATTTCTTATTATAAATCGCAGTGTAACAAATTAGCTTTTAAATTTAGGTCTGTTAAGAAACAAAGTTCCACTGGGTAAAATTGAAGATCCAGTTGGTGCTATGAAGCCATTCATGAATTGGACAGCATCCCATCTAGCAAATAGATGCTCTAAGGAGTTTTATAAAATGGAAGATTATAAGAAGGAGAATGGAGCAAGAAATTATTAGCAGGAAAAAAAGAAAGAAAGAAAGGATGGTATCAGGTAAATTCACTTTCCTGCAGGGGATCTTACTTAGTAGATTACCTCATCTTCTTTTGACGGGGGATGGAGAGGACAGATGACCTCACTGCTGCTGACCAGAAAATTCCTGACCAATTAAGACTACGTTTCTGGGTTGAAATGCAATTAGATTACTTATTAAGCCCCTGTTTGGTGATTTGGCCTGAGTGACTCCATCTTGAGCCTGTGGTTTTCTTTTTGATGGGTTGTTGATACAGTTTGAGTGATGTTTTGTATATGGTGTGAGGTAGGGGTTCAGTCTTTCTTTTGCATGGAGATATCTAGTTGTCCCAGTACCATGTGTTTAAAAGACTATGATTCCCCCATTGAATTGTCCTAGTATGCTGTCATGGGCTTGACATTTTTATTGAATTGGCTTATTCCAGGTGCCATTGTGGGTATATTGCAAGTCGTCAAAGCAGATGCCATCCTTGCCTTTCCAGAACTTCTACTGTGGCTCCCTTTATTTATTTATTTATTTATTTTTAAGTTTATTTATTTTGAGGGAGAGAGAGCATGCATACTGCCAGCGGGTGAGGGGCAGAGAGCAAGAGGGAGAGAGAGAATCCCAAGCAGGCTCTGAGCTGTCAGCACACAGCCCAACGTGGGGCTTGATCTTACAAACCGTGAGATCATGACCTGCTGGCTCCTTTTAAAAGGCAGTCTGGGAGGGGTGCCTGCATGGCTCAGTCAGTTAAGCATCAGACTCTTACTTTTGGCTCAGGTCATGATCTCACAGCTACAGAGATCAAGCCCTACGTCAGGCCTCATGCTGACAGCGTTGAGCCTGCTTAGGATTCTCTCCCTCTCTCTTCCCCTCCCCTGCTCTCTCTCTCTTTCAAAATAAATAAGTCAACATTAAAAAAAAAAAGTCAGTGTGGGAGTCACAGGGAAGAAGGGCTAGAGGGACAGGGAATAAGACTGGAGGCAGGGAGGCCAGCTTGGAGGCCGTGTAAGCCATCCAACAAGCAGCGATATTAGCAGGAGTTGGAGAGGCCCTTCACAGGCTGACCGGACAGGTATGGGTGACTGATGGAGGCCGAGGGAGAGAGAGGCCTTGTTCCGGGCTGAGAGCTTCTCTAGAACTATCTGAGGAGCTGGCTGAGGCTTTTCCTGCCTGCCTGAGCCTGGCCGAGTAACCAGTGGGGGGGGTCAGAGGCCGGAGAGAGAGCCCCAGGTGACAGCAGGAAGGGCAGTCCCCTTTGTGCTCCTCTGTAGGACTCAGCCTTTCTTGAGTGCGGCAGAATCACCCCCCCTGAAATTTATGGAGTCTTGCCAAGACACATGTCCCAGAAGGGGCTTTAGGGGCCAGAGGATAGACCTTAATTAGGGCTTCCGTGGTGCCAGGACTGTGCCGGACCCTATTCCTGCCTTCAGGAAGCTTGCGTCCGGGAGGGACGGGGATGTCCCGTGTTACAAGGGAGAAGTGGAGGACACTGGCGAGCTCGCCACCAGGAAGCCCTGGGGAGGAAGTGATAGTTCTCAAGCCATGAAACACAAAGAGGAAGAGGAGGGAGTGGGCGGCCGGCTGCCAGGAACAGGCTGGAGAAAGGGAAATAGGTCCTGGTGGAGGGGGCAGGGGCAGAGGAAGAGCCAGACCTGGGGGCCACGTGAGGACGCGCCCGGGAGGATGCGACTCCTCGCTGAGCAGCAGTGAAAGGCTCTGAATGATTTCAGGGTTTTAGAAAGATCCTTGAGAGGGAGGAAAGATTCGAGGAGGAACCAGGCGTGGATAAGAGACACAGAGGTGGGTGGTTGGGCAGGGGGCGCTCGGACAGGAGGAGGAGAGGGAGAGATGGCCATGGGGAGAACCAGGCCATGCTCTCTGCTCAGTTTCTGATGTTGGTGATGGTGGGGGTGGGGGTGAAATTTCCACACCAACCTTTATTTTTTTTATTTTTTTTTTATTTATTTTTTTTTTCCAACGTTTATTTATTTTTGGGACAGAGAGAGAGAGACAGAGCATGAGCAGGGGGGGGAGGGCAGAAGAAGAGGGAACACAAATCGGAAACAAGAGCTCCAGACTCCTACAGAGCCATCAGCCAAAACCCAGCAGCGGACTCAGAACTTCTGAACTGAGATAGAGTGACCTGGCTAAAGGAGAGTCAGGGCCAACAACAAGAGCCTAATACAAAGCCAACCCCCCATACATTTAAATACACACTGCTAGACTAAACATATGAAAATGTAAAAAGAACTTAATGGTGGAGTTCGTGTAAAGGTTAAATTGACGAACCTCAGGGGTCTGGCTAATGACAGGAACCAAGCCCAGCCCCTATATAGGAGCATTATTCCCCTGAGCCTGCCGATGCCTTGGCTAAGACATACATGCAATCCTCAGCACAAGCCAATTCTCATTACCTGTCATGTATGACATTGAGCTCATGCAGACCAGTTAAAAAGAGAGAACCTTTGGGAAAAACCACAAAAATATCAAACCACTGACCTAGTGACGGAGAGCTCTGGGGGTCCCCAGCCCAGCCCCCCTCCCCCATTACCTTTTTTTTTAAAAAAAAATTTTTGCAAGTTTATTTATTCTTGAAGAGAGAAGAGAGAGGGGAAGCTGAGGGGAGGGGCAGAGAAGAGAGGGAGACACAGAATCTGAAGCAAGCTCCAGGCTCTGAGCTGCCAACACAAACCTGGCGGATCCCGAACTCTGGGACCGAATCGTGACTAGACAGAATCCGACGTTCAACCGACCAGCCGAGCCACCAGAAGCCCCTTCCTGGCCTTGCCCTTTGAAGGCAATGGGCTGTGGGTCTGGTCCATCTTATCACTGGCTGCTCCTGGGAGTCATTGCAGCCCAGGCGTTAATGTCGCCACCATCCTTTGGTCCCCTTCCCTCCTCAGAAAAAAAAAAAGAATGTATGGGTCCCTGTGGCTGGGTCTCAGGGCCGACACAGAACTTTAGCACCTATGTATGTAAAAAAACTCCACGTTCCCACTGAGGAGATGCCAGAGGTGCCAGGAGGAAATCTGGTGAGTACTGCTTTATGGGTGGTTCTGGAAGAGGGATGCCCCACAGGGTTTGGTATTCCTCCCAATGTGCGGCCCCTGCCCCTGAGTGTCGTCTCCTTCACCACCACATCCAGTACATCAAGGCCTGCAAGACGAGCCCAACATGGACTCCAGGCAGCTGTCTCTGTGGTTCCTCCCTGGGCTGGATGGGTCAATCCCCACTGCAACCCCTCTCGGCTCCTTCCCTCGCCGACCAGCTTCCCCTTGCCCCCTGCAATTGGGCCAGGCAGCATGGGCTGGTGAGGTGACTTACCCGCGGGACGGCTCCAGCCACCGGTCCCGCTCCAGCGTCCTGATCCATGGTTCCCATCTGGCATTTACCCGCCAGAAGTGCCTTCCACCACACCCTGTCTTGCGGCGTGACAGTCCCGGTACTTGCTGTCCGGACGGATTTCTCCATTGCACTGGTACATCAAACCAGGGAGAGGATTGCTCAGGGAGCTGAAAGGAGGAACAGTTTTGTAGCAGGAGTCAGGTGCCCGTCACAGGAATCACCTCTGCCTTCCCCACCAGGAGACTGTAAGTCTTTTTTTTTTTTTTTTTTTTTTAAATGTTTTTTATTTTTGAGAGAGGCAGAAGAGCATGGTAAGGAGAGGAGAAGACAGAGAAGGGGGTAGGCAGCCATCCAGGCTCTGAGCTGTCAGCTCAAACTTGACAGAGACGGGCTTTCGAACCTGTTTCCTTGAGATCATGACCTGAGCAGTGATTTATTACCGACTGAGCCACCCAGGCGCCCCAGGACTGTAAAGTCTTGATGGCTCCTGTACCAGCCAGACCAGAGCCCTCACTTAACCTCCCAGTCCCGTTCTGTGTCCTGCACGTTTTCTCCCTCTGCCTTCCCTGATCTCTGCCGGGTAGAAACTGTGCTCCGCTCCCTCCCAGATAAGGAGACAGAAGGTCACAGAGGTGAAATGAATCGGCCGGGCCACCCGGCTGCTGACCGAGCACGGCCGTGCTGTCGGCACATGGTCCGCAGAGCCTGGGAGCCCTGTTTGTCTTGCAGACCTACACGGCGGTATATTACGTACTGGCGGACCTGCTGATGCTGTCACTGTACTTTCATTACAAATTTAAGAAACGCCCCTCGCTGTGTGAGTACGGGGTCCCTCTGGTCGGGCGTGTCGGGGGCAGCGGGAGAGCCGGCAGCCTGGGAGGAAGTGGGTTTCCCATTGCCCAGTGATAAACTCAGCGTAGGGCCTTATCTGCAGGTCTGAGCCCCAGCCGGCCACGATGGAGGCCGGAGGGTGATTGGCACATCCCGGCAGGACCGCAGGGACTTCCCTTCTCTTGAGCTCTCATTCAGCAAACGTGGCTTCAGCTGCTCCTCTGTGCCTGGCCCTGGGCTTGGAGCTGAGGAACCGAGGACAAGGACAGGTCCTCGCTGCCCTTGAGGATTGAGAAGGGGGAGGTCAGATGGAGGCAGTTGGGGGCGGGGCTGTTTCGCTGGCATTTCCGTGTGGGGTAACCCCCTCCTGATCCTGCTGCCTTCGTCTCTCCTTTACCACCCGAGGAGAAGGGTGCTATGATTACACCCGTTCTGTAGATGAGGAATTAAAGCTCAGAGAGGTTCGGTTACTTGCCCAGAGTCACACAGCCACTGAAGGGCAAGGCCAGGACTCAAGTCCTGGTCTGTTTCCTGCCACTCATAACCTAACCGTGGCTTTCCACCTGCCTCCCGCCCAGTGTCTACCCCCATCAATTCTCTGCTCCTGTTCATTTTGGCAATGGTGTGTACCACCCCACTGCTGAGGAGTGCTGGCCCCGTGACTGCCCCGAGCGAAGTCTTCCGGGGGCGGACGCTTCTGTCAGTGGAGCCGGGCAGTAAGGTGAGGTGCGGGTCTGGTAGGGTGGGGTGTGGATTGGGGGCCGGCTCGTCGTCCCCAAGGACCCTGCCCTGCATGGCCGGGGGGGTGGGCACTGCCCTCTCCCAGGGGGCCTGGGGTCTCGGCCTGCACCTCTGGCCCCTGTTAGGCACTGAGCACCCCCTCCCTCCCAGCCCTTCACTCGGCAGGAAATCATCGGCTTCGTCATCGGCTCTGTCTCCAGCGTGCTGTACCTGCTCTCCCGGCTGCCTCAGATCCGCACTAACGTGAGCCTGGGGCAGGGGTGGGTGGGCCCCCTGTGTTGAGGTGTGGAGTTTCGCAAAAGGTCTGGGTCCAAACTCACTGTTGGCTTGGGCAAGTGCATCCAGTTCCCGAAGCCTCAGTTTCTGCCTCTGGGGAGTGGGCATGGGCCGCCTACAGGCACGTGTGTCCCGTGTGTGTCTCAGGGAAGCAGGAGGTCACGCGAGGTCAGGGGCTAGGCCCAGAGTCCTGAGAGGAGAGGAGAGAGTGGCATATTGGGGCCAGGGGGGCTTGTGGGGCAGCGAGGGTCCGTGGGGGGCGGGGGAGCGGGCCATCGTGGGGCCAATGTCCCATGGGCCCGGAACGGGTGTAGGGGTGCGGGTCGTGGATACCGGGTGCACAGGGAGACGTCAGCTCAGAGCATGCACAGTGCGACAGGGACGTGTGGACAGGGACAACCCAGGGTGACAAGAGTCCTGTCTGCGGCCTCCGACCCCACCCCATCCTCACCCCTAGTTCCTGAGGAAGTCGACCCAGGGGGTCTCCTATTCGCTGTTTGCGTTGGTGATGCTGGGGAACACGCTGTACGGGCTGAGCGTGCTGCTCAAGAACCCCGAGGTGGGTCAGAGTGAGGGCAGCTACCTGCTGCACCACCTGCCCTGGCTCGTGGGCAGCCTGGGCGTGCTGCTGCTGGACACCATAGTATCCTTCAGGGGCGGGGCGGAGGGCGGGGCGGAGGGCGTGGTGG